GCACACTGTGTAGTCCAGGCTGGACTCAAATTTGTGGCTATCCTCCTGTCTTAGCCTCCTGAGTGTTGGGATTATAGGCATATGACACTACTCCAGCTTCACATTTTCATATGTTCTATGGAAAGTAGAAAAGAATATAGATTCTTGGAAATGTAAAGATGTGAAGAAATACTGCATAAGATTTTCTAACTTCCACAGGCCAGTATTTCCTTACCTGAAATTTGCAGTAATAATAAAAGGAGGGAAACATTAACAGACATACAACATTTTACAACGTATCACAAGCACAGTACAGACAATACAAAGTTACAAACAAAGTGGTAGGGAATTAACAATGGTGGTTGTATTACATATTGATATCTTCAAAGTGGCTTCTCATGAAAACAGATACAGACATGCAATACTGGTCAACCAAAGGCTCATTGACAGTTTCTTTCAGCATAGAAATAGAAGACAGAAGAACAACCATGTTATCTATCCTGTATATACATGCATACAAAATTTCTCCTTCTTTATCTTTAAAATAAAAAAAAAGAAATTTGCAGTAATAATAGGCATCACATACAATGTAAAAGAAGGTCACAGTCCATAAGGCACTGAAAGTACTTAAAGCAGTCTTTGACCTACAGTACCACTCAAATTTTAGATTTCCTTTTTTGTTATTAATAATAGTTGAATTCTGAGAAAACTGAGCAACACCTTCTCATTCTGTGACTGATTCACCTTAAATTTTATGGGGTTTTTTGTTTATTTTATTTAATATTAGCATCAAGGCCAAAATCAACCTCAGAGGCTTTATGGCCATGATCAAGAATCAAATAACGAGGGGCTGGGGATTTAGCTCAGTGGCAAAAGCGCCTGCCTGGCAAGCGCAAGGTCATGAGTTCGGTTCCCGGTACTGGAGAAAACCCAAAAAAAAAAAAAAAAAGAAAGAAATAACGAGTGCTGGCTAAACTGTGGGGAAAAAGAACTCCTTTTTCACTGTTGAGGGGAATGTAAACTAGTGCAACTATGCAAAGTAGTACAGAGATTTCTCAAAAAGCAGGAACTACAAACTCCATTTGGCTCCGTTACTCCCCTTTGAGTTATCTTTTCCAGAGTTGAAGACATCATATTATAGTGACACATGCATAGCCATGTTTATAGCAGCGCAATTCATAAATCTTGGAAAATCCCAGCTAAATCTTGGAAGCAGCATGTACGTCCATCAGTAGTTGAATGTATAAAGAATATGTGGTGTTTACGCACAATAGAGGAATACACTGCCTCAAAGAAATACAAACTTGAGTCATTTATAGGAAAACAGATGCAACTTGAAACCATAATGTTAGGGAAATAAATGAGACACACAAACTTAAATATCATATGCTTTCCCTTATGTGTGGAACCCAAATAATAAATAAAGAGTAAAATAAAAGAGAGATACCATGAGGTAGGAATAGATCCTTCTCAAGTGGAACAAGGATCAAGAGATGGAGGAAGGTGAGGTTGGAAACGTATTGGAAAACAAGAATGAAGATGTGTTATGTACATGTACCGACTCCATACAAGGAATGTAAACATTATTACTGCAAACATGCACTGATAAAAATTAAAAAATATAAAAAAGTAAATGAACAAAGCTAGAAGGTCTGAAAGAGGGGTCAGACACACAACGTCTGAGAGAAACTATCACAGAACTTTCTAGCCCACAGTTACATACTGGAAACCTCTACAGAGTGCTCCTCCCAACAACTATGTGTCCAACCTCAGCCTGACATCACATTTGATAATCCTCGTGGCAAGGATCATGGTTTCAAAATATCTGAAGTAATCTTCCTCATTTTCATGTTTAAGAAATTCTCCACAACTCAGCTTCTCTGAATATACACATATATTACTAAGACACATGTGTTCCCATTATAATGCTCTCCTCCTCCCAAGTGTATATGACTGTCCTTTTGAGAATCTGTCTCTGATAGTTATTTAGGTTTATAATAAATGCTAATGTGAATTATGGACTTTCAATAATTATGATGTGTCAGTGTAGGCCTAGCAATCATGCTCTTCATCTGGTGGAGGATGTTGGCAATGTGGGGAGGGCAGAGAGTATTTAGAGCTGTATCCCCTTTCTGTTCAATATTATTTTGAACCAAGAACTGCTTTAAAAATAAAGACCATTTTTCTTTTTCTTTTTCTTTTTTCTTTTTTGGCTCCATGAACTGAAAATGTGAGTTTAATGAGACTGTGTCTAGGGCTAAGTGTTAGACATTTGACATTTGCAAAGAAATGCTTATTTTTAATTTGTTTTTTGGAGGTAATACTCTGACATAATTCAAACATAAAATTACAAAAAATTTACAGTGAAACATCTTCCACTTCTGATACACATTCTGTCCACTTCCTCCCAAGGTGAACATGATTCTGTTTTTTTTATTTGTAGCTTTCTGAAATTACTTCAGGAATTTGCAGATAAATGTAAGTGCAAGTATACATGTTTGTTTATTTATTTATTTTATCTGTTTGAGACAGGATTTCAATATGCTGTTCAGGTTGGCCTTGGATTCCCTTGGTAGCCCTGGTTGGCTTTGAACTCACGGTGGTCCTCCTGCCTCAGCCTCCTGAGCGCTGGGATTACAGGCATGAGCCATCATGCCTGGCAACTTGTGTTATTTTTTATCCCGAGACAACAAACACATTTTGTATTCTTAAAAATATAGATTCCCTGTTATGATTCAAAAATGGGGTTGTAAATACTGTGGTGGTATGATTATAAAAACTGGTGTTCTGCCCCCAAATAAGATATGCCCATGTCCTTATTCTTAGAATCCAAAAAAAGAATCTTTGAACATATACATGAGGATGTTGAGATGGAAGAGCTCATCCTGGATTATCTGAGTGGATTGCTGTGGTATCCTGGATTACCAGACATTGAAATGATACATTCCCTTAGTGTCAGAGCGAAATCCGAGACAGAAGAAAAGACTTTGCAGCAGGTGAAGAGAGAGGCAGAAACTGAGCAACGTGGCTGTAAGCTGGGGACACCAAGTAATGCCGGTAGCCACCAGGCATGGGAAAAAGGAAGGGAAGGAGTCTCTCCTAGAGGGTTTGGAGGAAACGAGGGCTGGCAGATGCCTTGACTCCATACTTCTGGCCTCCAGCGCTGTGAGAGAACACATTCCAGTTGCTTTAGCAAGTTTGTGATAATTTGTGCAGCAACCACAGGAAACTAACATACTAGGACTTCCCTTGTTCCCTCCTCTGCTTTCTTACTCCCTCCCTCTTTCTTTTTTTTTTTT